TCACAGCTCACTGTAACCTTAAACTCCTGGGCTCAAGCCATCCTCCCACTTCAGCCTCCTGAAGCAACTAGGACCACAGGTGTATGCCCATATGCCCAGCTAATGTTCTTTATTTTTGGTAGAGATGGGGTCTCACTATGTTTTTCAGACTGTTGTCAAACTCTCAGAAGTTTGAGCTACCACATCTAGCCTAGTTTATCAAGAAAAAGGACTAGATCTTTACTTGTTTGAATCTCCCACAACACCTAGCACAATGCTTTTCATTTTGCAGATGCTAAATAAATTGAAAGCACAGTCCTGAAGGAATTGAATATAGACTGGCCCAAATTCCTGGCTGCGAAATATGATGCAAAATTAGTGGATTTCTGAAGGTGAAGTGGAGAAGAAGTTTTAATAAATCACAGAGTCTGTCTACTCTAAAGACAATTTTTGAAACTAACGTTTTATTCAAGGAGAAATGGAAATTCCTTACATGGCATATGAAATTGATGCATTCTCCCTCTGGCAGTGAGCCTCTTCTAAAAGCACTAAAGAATAATGTTCCTCACTCTCATGTGAGTTTACTTCATTTTCAGTGTCATTATTGGCATTATTTCAGACATTCACGTATGAGATCTTTGTCTTATAGACCCTTGGTGTTTTCTTCCGATGTGACTTGTCACATCGCAGCAATATCTTATGATATATTTACATACTAACATACTGTAATGTCAAAGTAGGGCAGTAGGGTTTCTGGAATATGAAGAAATAAAACCAAAGAGATATGAAGTAAAAATTGAAGCTTATTACTCCACATCTGAAGAGCCAGTGGTATTAAATTTTTACAGTTTAGCATCACTCTGTATGTCAGAAGAAAGATCTCAGATTTGCTGTGGTGTTTGCTAATGTTAAAGCATTCCTCCGGCCAACAGACAAAATGAAGTCTGTATGGCTGACTGAGGTTCTCAAAGTTAATACAGAACCAGGTGGTCATAGCCAGGCAAGGGAACTGTCAGGTACTCTGTGTTCTCAGAAAGTACTCTATGTTCTCAGAAAGGTATTGTAAAAGTGTCACAAAACCTCCCTTTCTATGATTAAGCCAAACCAGTTTCTGTTGTTGTCAAGATAAACTATGGCCAGGACTCTCAGACTTTCACACCGGCTGCTTAAAAAAAAAAAAAAAAAAAAAATCTGACCAGAGACTTCTGGTTTAGAGCTTGGAAGCCAGTCAATCAGGGTTTCTCTATTTCAACCAATCAGAACTGAGTAAGTTTGAATGCTTCATTTGCATAAATGGACGACATGGTTGAGAACTGGGGTGAGAATTTTCTCTATTTAAGCCAGACCCTCCCTTTCTTCATTGGAAGGCACACTCACTTGTATTGCAGGCTATTCCTCCCCAATTTTGAGATTGTTGTTAAGAAAATAAAGCTCTTCCTTTCTCCTCTACAGATCTCATGCTTATTTGTCAACACCAGTAAGTATTGAGTCACAAAGTATCTTTCAGATTTCAGAAAAACCAAGTGTGAAAATAAATTCTTGTTTCTCTAAAAAGCCTTATAAGTGATGCATTCATAGTCTATAGTTTTTCTCAGTTTCTAAAGAAAATGTTAGTGATTACCAATATATTTCTGAAAGATAATATAAAAGTATTCCATGGAGTAGAAAAGTAAAGTCTTGAGAAATTAAGGGATTTGTCTAAGCTTTCACATGAAATTCATGGTCCAAGCAGAACTATAATTAAGGTTTTCTTCAAACATACTGTCAAGTTTGATTTTTTATAGGAGGAAGGGCTAACTATAAATGTTAAAAATAATGCTATTATTATTACAATCACATATCTTCTGGTGAAATCTGTTGACACTTAAAAACAGATGCTAAAAAAGACTTCCAGTCACAATGGAGTCAAAGGGATCAGGTATATCCTCTTGCCTGAAACAACCAAAAACCTGAAAAAAATATGGAAAATAATGGTTTACAAGACACTGCATATTAGGTAACAAAGGGCAATAATCATCAAGAGATGAAAACGAATGAAGTGAACCATAGAAGACTGCGTTGACATACTACCTTGACAATTTCTAGCTCATAACACAAGGAGAGGGAACTGAGATAAAGCACAGCAGACTCCCTAATTAAAGAGATCAAGTTGAGGGTACGGGGATGCCAAGGCAGGTAGAATTTGCAAGGCAGAGTCTACAGAAGGGGTGAGGTGAGAGTTGCACAGAGAAAACCCTGGAGATACGCAGAGAAACCTCCTCTAGTATTTAGCTCAGTAATGATTGGCATATGCCTGTGAGGAAATTACTTAGGGGCCTAGGAAGAACTACCTGAAATAATTAGAGGGAACACGAAAAGATGTTCAGATTACACTGGGAAAGTGAAGACTGCCCTAACAGACAGAATGAAAAATTGCAAGATTTAAGGTCATTGAGTAGATTAGAAGATGAAGAGGGGTCTTGCTTCAGTAGTGGGGAAGTAATTAGCCCTAGATTGAGCACTGCTTCTTTCCCACCTAACAAATCTGGAAGTACTAAACAGTTTCTAAGTAACAGTTTCTAAGTAACTTGACAGCATTCCAGAACAAAGCTCAATACTATTTGTAAAAATACAAAATATCTAGCATCCAACAAGGTAAATTTGATGAATTTATGAAGCACTAGGTAATATCTCCATATTACATATGAGAAAATTTAGGCTACTTCTAATTCACACAACTGGTAAGTGATAGCTAGGATCTGAAACTCAATCTGGTTAAATTGAAATCATTAGATAAGAAGACAGGAATACATTCATATGTAAATCAGATTAAAGGTATTTCTTTGGAGTGTTTTCATTCAGTTTTGATGCACATCAATTGATTTTGGCACAGCAATCTTGAAACTGGCCAAAATTGAGGGTAAATATAAGAAGGGTTAGGGGACAGTGTAGAAGGTTGTGGCTCACTAGTGAGCATAATCAGACAATGAAAAGCCTTGAGTAGATCTTAAAGGATTAAAATCTTTCTTGTTGCTTTCTCAATTAAACTGGAAATTAAAGACTTAACTAAAACATGCCAATAACTCTCCCATCCAATCTTAAAGCAATCATAATATGACATCTATGTGCAATTAACGTGGCCACCCAACTGGGCAATTCACATACACACAGATAGACATATATAAAGAATGTATTTTCCTGAAATGATTATAACTTGAGAAGTTTTCCCCTGCCCATCAAGTTATTTTCTTCTGAACAACTATTTTTAAATGAGGTACTTATACCATAGTTATTTACATTTGAATGAAGCTTACACTGATAATTTTACTTCCTAAAACAACCCATAATGATGGGTGATACAACTTGAGAATTAAAGGTCATTTAAGTGCTTTAAAATATCAATTTGCCAAATACTAAATGTCTACTACTTTTTAATACATTTAATCAAGCTGCTCTAACCCACCCTTTTTTCTAGAACAGTCTGTTTCTATCTCACAACTGGTCTACTTTTTATTTCGTTATAACAAACTGATGAAATAAATTTGTACATACTTTAAGATGATGAAACTTCTTTTATAAAGAGTTTTGAAAACATGATTAGTCATTCATTAAGTATCACCCAGACAAGCATTCCCTGTTAGAATGGCCTAGTGCCAGGTGAGGGTGTGTGATGAGGAAGAGGACAGGACCGATGCAGTACGGAAAAGAGTAAGACATGATTCTAGACCTTCATGAACTATGGAATCATCTTGGCCAATTTGTAATCCTCCTAAACAAAATAAAATGCATTGCCATGTAAATTTACATTTTAGAAATATTTATAGATAAAAACAAAATACACACAGGTGAATCTTTTATTTAACACAATTGAAAATATATATCGTGTTTTCCTTTCCAAACTCTCCTCCTCCTTGGATAGACCAGTATTCTGTTTGTTAACCTGTAACTCAGCTCACTCCCACTCTGGTCTTTCCATCTACCAGATAAAGAAATACAGCATTCTTTTTGGGGTTTGAAATGAACAGCATGTGATATCGTTGGAGCAGCTTTTGCATAAATTTACATAAGAAACTGAACATCACTGGACCCCCTGAAGAGTAAAAGCTAGCCACAGTTGATACTGCACTTGAAATAGTATACCAGGGATGATAATTTTAAAGAGGCAGACACTTAAATTCATTAATCTGTTGTCCTTTATTCAGGGAGGAAGTCAGGTCTTTTATATTCCCTGAGATATGAAAGGCAGAAGGCAGGGATTGAAAATTGGAGGAGCACTAGATTTCTGCAGCAGTGATTAGAGGTCAAAGAGGGGTTCGGAATCCTGAATGTCCACATTAGCAGCTGACACAGTGGCAAACTGCAAAATTCCATCAAATCTACTTTTTTCCCCCTTGTGGGGAAAAAAAAAATATTTTTATCTACTGAATTCAGTTTCATAAACATTTACAGAGAACTTACTATAAAAAATTTACAACTTTAGATTTCTAGTAATTTCAAAATAATCATTTCTTAAGTACTTGGGGATAATGCTTTTTAAAAAAATATATGTATGTTTTATAGACTGTAGAGAAATAAATCATCTAGCAAAGATGAGAGCAATGTGTTAATTACTATTATTAACAACAATGTACTTTTGCTGTTTGATCACTGCAGAAGATATTACATGACGTAGATACACAATCTGTAAGATCTGTTTATTGTGATAGTAACCTAAGGTGTTCCTCAATTTGACAAAAGTCTCTTTTAAAGTAGCTAATTATTATTGATTAACATGGTGCTCACTGCAATAACATTGCTGGGATAACCTGCAATGGATTTATTTTCTCTTAATATGTACATAAATACAGTCACATAAATTCAGAGAAGTTCCATTATATACATAGAGTTGATAATGTATGAATAGGGTTGTGTCATCATAATGTTTACATTACCAAGATTCATGTTTATGACCATAAACCATGCCTGGCTGTTGCCATTGTTGGAGCACAGAACATGACACACCCTGAAGTATGACTCCTTGGTGTGCTGAAAATACTTCGAACTAAAGGAAACTGGAAGGGTCTCTGACCTTCTCCACCTTCCTGTCTCCCGACCCTACTTCTCCCATGAAATGAGTCATAGTAACCAGAATTCTTCTTCCCCAAGGTGAGTCAGAAACTGAAACTTCTCTCCCCGAAAGCAAGCCATAAAACCTAGGAAGCTCACTCCATCCCTTCTCCCTTCTCCATAAAGCCTAGGAAGCTCACTCCATCCCTTCTTTTTTGAAGACCTTGATTCCAGGTGCCCCCATTGCCAGGTGAAAGAAATGCTATACAGAAATGCCAAACAAAACAAAACAAAGAAAGGAAGGAAGGAGAAGGAAAAGAAAAGAAAGTCAGGCCTTACTGGATTTCTTCCCTTGGTCTATTACAATTAGATTATACTCTCTTGCCCAATCACATTTCTAAGTTATTGTCTATTCTTCATTAAATCTAAACATCAAAATAGACAATTTTCCCTGGGTCTTTTAAGTTTTCATTCCTGAAGGCTCCCATGTCAAGTAAAACCCTGATTAAATACATTTGTTATACTTTTCCCTTGTTAACCTGTCTTTTGTTACAGGACTTCCAGCTGTGTTCCTTCAGATGGGTGAGAAAAGGTGCCATATCTTTCTGCCTGTACCTCATATTGAAGTGACTTGATAAAATATCCAAAATCTATAGTTTGATCTATAAAAATAGCTTAGAGGATGGAGCTATATATATTTAACTAAAATGTAGAGCCTTTTAAAGAATTATTTGTAACAGACTCTCCTTCTGTTTGCTAGCCTTATTTTTTCTTAGAAACTATATTTTTTTTTCACTAGTAAGACAATCATATTTCATTGAAGATATGGAATTGTATCCATAATACTCTTTGGAGAGAGCGAAGTTACAACCTCACCAATCCACAATAGTCTGTTTTTACCATTTTAGGTATACAAAGCATACCATGATAGAAAAGCAATTCATAATGTAATGACTTGATTTATTTCATAACTTTGTATTTCAGTCTGTAAAAATTGAAAACCAGCTATTTCTTAGAAAAAACTTCTGTCCCTCAGACTAAAAAGAGAACATTTTGAATGACTACAGCCAATTCCAGTATCAAGCCTCATGAAAAAGAAACAGAGTATATACTTCAGATTCTCCATGGTCCTTTCTCCAGCTCAGGTGAAGTAAAGGATCTAAATGCAACCAGGTATTAAAGTCAGAAGAAACAAAAGGTTCTTCCACTTCACAACCACCCAAATAACAAATCAGGGAATATTTGCTAAATCTTAAAAAAGAAAGAAAGAAAGAAAAAAAAATAAATAAATATGAAAACTCCAATGTTTTTTGGAAACAATTCAATGAATTTAGGTTTCTGAATGCAATCTAGATAGCAGAATAAATTCCTTTAGTTAGAAAACTGTTGCGTGTTTTGGTCTAGCTATTGAGGAAATGGCAGAGCAAGCTGATGATGCACATGACAGCCCAAGACCAAGGTGAAAGGAGCTTCAGGAAATTCCAGCCCATCCTGCTGGAAGATGTACCTTTTAAAACAGTTTCCCTGCAGAGCCACTTGGTATACAAATTAAATATCTTCCAGAGAAAGGGCAGACTCTCTCATTCTGCCTGTGGTTTTGCATGTTAACTAGCAGTCACTTCTTAAAGTATGGATTCACAGGGTCACATTCACCTGCCAACGTACAATTAAGTGGGGGAAAATTACATTAAAGGGGATAATCAAGTTTTCTTGTAATTGTGCTTATGAGTAAATTGGTGTGACAATTCTTTTTGCTCTAATTATGTGCTTCAAAAACAATGTTCATGCATTAGACATTATCCCCATTATGTAAAACAATCTTAAAAATTCATGCTGTTTATCATACATGTAGTTTTTTACACTTTTTAAATCACATACAAGTTAAGACTGGCTCTAATAAATCCTAATTAGAGAGGAGTGTATCATTTTATGTTGATATTTTCACATTACTTAGAATATTTTTATACTGTGAAACCTGTTTAAATGAGATTTTACTGTATTAGAAGACCAGTTGTCTGAATGGTCAAATATCCTGATCAGTGACATTATTTCTTATAAAAAAATAAAAGATTTTGAACTAGTTTTGGCAGCCATATGCTCAAAACAATAATGGGAGTCTGAAAAGTATATTAAATTTTAAAATAAAATTTAGAATCAATGATAGAAAATAAGTTTAGTTGTGTCGCAGCAAACATGGTCCTATGTCCTCTTCAATATCTCTTCAGTTCTGACCTACAGTGACTTTCTGACATTTCCTAGTCAATGAATATTTATTGATTAGAGCTTCTTACTGAGAATTATGCTAAGAATTCCAGGGTTAAAAAAAGTTAAGGTATTAGTCACACAAAAAAATCCATTACACTTCTCATAGCTGGGTTATCTTTGTATAGGTGACATTACCAATCAGTTATCTATATGATTCTAGATATTCCACCTGCTTAATCTATTCCTAGTTCACTCGATGTGAACTCTATTGCTATTCCTGCACAGTACCATGTTGTCACACTTCAGGAACTTGGTATCTCTTATTGCCTATGTTTGAGTTCTCTTCCTTCAAACCTTCATATATGGTTTCTTTATTCTCTCAGAGAATCTCTCTCTGACCATTGCATTATAAGCCTCAACTCCCACCTTATTACTCTTTCAACTGATTGATTCTTGACAGGTAGCACTTCATATTCCTGAGATTATTCACTTACTTACTGGTTTATTGTCTCTGATTATTAAGAGAATATAAGGTACATAAGGACAGGACTTGGTATTTTTCATTGCTGAACTCTCACTATTTAGATTAGTGCCAGGACACAGTTGATATAAAGGGTTGCTAAGTAGAAATTTCACTACTGAAGTGTTTTCATATATGCTAAAAGGTTTTAAAGTTATCCAAAGATACATATATAGAAAACAAAGGATTATTTTTTTTTTGGTCAAAGAGGAAGTATCAAGAAATATGACATAATTATGTTGCTTTCAATTTTCGTAGACCCATTAAGAAAATGACAAATGTATGAAATCAACTCCATTTGACTGTAGGAGTGATGATTGGAGGTTAAAATTTGGGGGCGGTGCAATAGAATCTTAAATGTATCATTTTTATCTGTAGTCATTTACAGTGTTAGATTTCTAACACCAAAATAAAGTAGAAATAAAGACAGAAGACTTCTATTAATTTATTATAGTTACCTTGTATTCTAATTAATTTTTTAATGTCTGCTTATACAAATTCTCTTCTTTTGCTTTACGTTTTTTAAAGTATGTCGCTTTTTACTAGAAATTATTTTTCTTTCCAAAGTACAAAAAGTATTAAGGCAAAAAGTTTATTTCATAAAATATTAAGTTTAAAAAATCACATAGTAAGGCGGGCGTGGTGGCTCAAGCCTGTAATCCCAGCACTTTGGGAGGCCGAGACGGGTGGATCACGAGGTCAGGAGATCGAGACCATCCTGGATAACACGGTGAAACCCCATCTCTACTAAAAAATACAAAAAACTAGCCGGGCGAGGTGGCGGGCGCCTGTAGTCCCAGCTACTCGGGAGGCCGAGGCAGGAGAATGGCGTGAACCCGGGAGGCGGAGCTTGCTGTGAGCCAAGATCCGGCCACTGCACTCCAGCCTGGGCGACAGAGCGAGACTCCGTCTCAAAAAAAAAAAAAAAAAATCACATAGTATAGGATGGGCTTGAGATATAAAATTATTTTTTGATTATGTAGTAATATTGACATAATTTAAATATTTTCTAAAATAAAAATGGGAGATTACATATTCCTTAATTTTATATTCTATTGTTGTTTCCAATTTCCTTGGATAGACAGAACCTGCTTCAGTGTTTTTCACCACACATCTAAAAGTTTTGACTTATGCATCATCTTGGTACAGTAATGAATAAGAACTGACATCAAATATCAATATTATTGGCCCAGCTAAATGGTAGTTGACATCAAGGTGGATTGCTGGAGAAGTAAACAAAATGGAAATATTTTTGGTGTATAAATACCGCCTGACATCATTTGTCCTTCAGGGAATCAATCACTGTATGACCTAAATGTTGTTTGCATTTCTTTATATAAAATGGCCAGAGATTGATATTGAGTGCTTGCTGTTTGAACTTAGGTAATAAACAAAATTGAGAAATCAGAAATTCAACTTCCTTTGCTAAAGTGGAGATAGGATCACTTTTTTAGGCAGGCAATTGCGGTTTTTGTTTATCACTGATTTTTTAAAAAGGTAATGTGAATTGATGCATTTATATTTATTTACTGGCAACTTAGGAAAAGCAGTTAACCTATCTTAGATCAAATATAAAACATTTAACTGCCTAATTATTGTATAACATATCCAGATATGAAAGAAACAAAATACTCCCTCTGAAGCTTATACCCATTTTTTTAGCAGGATTTAGCTCAAGTTTCATACAGTCACACATTCTTTTTTAGGATAATTTTAACATTTTATGTTCCTGAACTTTGCTTAGGTGCAAAATATGTATGGCAAGTTTATGTGCACACTACTGATACTACGTTATAGAAAATTAAATTATAGACTATAAGGAATTTATGTTATACATATTTGTGTGTGATTATTCTTTATTTACTTCTACTTATTTGAAAACAAATGGCTAGAAAGGCACATTAGCTCCATTAACAAAAGTACAGGTTCAGTATGCCTTATACAAAATTCTTAGGAATAGAAATGTTTTAGATTTCTGACTTTTTAAAAATTTTAGAATATTTGCATATACATAATGTAATATTGTGGGGATAGGACCCAAGTCTAAACATAACATTAATTTATGTTTCGTATATACCTTATGCACATAGACTGAAGGTAATTTTATACAGCATTTTAGATAATTTTATGCATGAAACAAAGTTTGTGCACACTAAACCAGCAAAAAGCAAAGGTGTCAGGTGTTGAACATGACACCATAAGTTTTGGATTTTGGAACATTTTGGAGTTTAGATTTTTGTATTAGAGATGCTCAGACTTTGTTAATAATAATAGCAGTAGTAGGAATAATACCATCTTCTAGTTACTAAGCACTATTTAAAACACATTATATGTATTATCTAATATTCACTGTTCTTTTATCACTCATTTTAAGGATGAGCTAAATAATTTGCTCAAGATCATATGTCTTATGAATAGCAAAGCCAGAATCTGAAAAGTACCAATAGGAGACAAATATAACTGAAACTGAATAACTGTACAGGGATTCCAAAGGCATGGTACACTATGATGCCATAGTAGCTTTCTAAGGAACAGCGAATCTATCCTGATAATTAAATAACTTTAGTTTGCAGCTAAGCATCTGCAGAATTTGGAAGCCTAATCAAGTTGAAGTAAATAAGATCTAATGATACAATGCTATAATGAAAACCTTGTGCTTATATTCATTCAGAATTCAGCATTCATTCATTTATTTATTCATTGCTGTTTTTGAATATTAAATATGTAAAACAGAATATGCTACATATTGGAGATATTGCGTAAAACAAAATTGAAAATATCCTTATTTCTTTTCCCTGAATTCTGGTATAGAGAGATTTTTGAAAAAAGTAAACAGACAAAAATCCCCAAGACAATTGCTAGCTATGACTGATCATTCTACTTCTGCATCTAGATGAATAGAATAATATTTATTAAGATGATATAATGGAGAAAGGAATCAGTGTGGATTATGGGAAAGCAAGTTTCATTTTTAACATATTTTAATGAGATGTCATAGATATTTAGGCTGAGATGCAAAATGACTAATGGTAAATTTGGGGGTCAGAATGGGATTTACTGGAAAATCATCATCATATCAATAAAATTAAAAGGTACAAGTTTGAATAATATGAATTATGAAGAGAATCTGCTAGATAACAGGATTTAAGATTGAGCCTTGATACAGTTTAATATTTAGCAGTCAAGTAAGAAAGTAGGATCCAGCACAGTAGACTGAGAAGTGGTGCCTGTGGATATTTTATTTCTCAGGATGCAAGACAGGAGAACAATTTAGGTGATAATGAAAATTACTCATTGGCTAAAACAATGTAGAGATCAAGAAGAGTTTCAGTAAACTTTTTGATTTGGAATTCATATTGGAATAGTCGAGGTGAAAATGCTAGTGGAGGTTTCTAGGGAACAAGGAAATGTAAGATAATGAAGAAATATTCCTGCCACTCAAAATTAATAGAAAGTATAGATCAAAAAGTAAAAAAAAAGAAATTAATATATGCCTAAAATCAAAA